TACAACGAAACGTGTCCATAGGGTATTTAAGGGTTAGATGTATCATATATCCTCCGCGCTAAACCCACCCATTTACTTCTCAACATCGCCGTGAACCACGGGAGTGGGAGACAGGAAGAATGACACATGGACGCGATGGAAACGAGTGGAGGGTTCCTGAGCGGCGACATACGATCCGGAGTAATCATGTACATTTGCTACTGTATGGTACCCACAATGCCTGCGGGGATAGGAGATAACGAGAAATAAGATCAACGATACATGAGATTCGCTCGATGCGAAGTAAAAGGACGAACCGGGACCCGAGAAGAATAATATTAACAACGAGAGTTCAGAGCGAAGAGATCGGCCCTCAAGGACTTAAAAGCGAGGTCAGGACACACTGGGTTCCACAATCTCGCTTGAAATCCGATGATTTTTACTCGATTTATCCGTGACGCCTCCGGAATGGGGCAGACACTCTAAGCACGGCGAACTCAGCAACGAATATAAAAAGAACCAGAAATGTTACTGTTGCAAAGGGGATTAATGGATCAGCCACAAGCAAGATGAACGGAGAAGTACGGAGGAAGAGGAAGGCGGCGAGCTGTGGTATATTACTCACTGATCGGACTCTTGTCCTTTAAATATAAACACTATCTTCTTCTTCACTAATCGGCAAGATTCAGGTTGATTATAGGCTCCACTCCAGTTAGCAGGTGGAGTAGCGCCATGGTCGCCTTTCCTGTACCATCGCCCCCAAAATGCCAATACGGGAGTCGATAGCCTTCTTTTCTTCAGAACTCCAGCACTGGCATAATCTTATACAATAACCGACTCGTATAAAGTGCGCTGAAGCGTCAGACACAACTCGGTAATGTCGGGAATTCCCAGCTTCGTGCAGGATGATCCCGCGACTAGTCGTCCCTCCACGACTTGAAAGAAAGGAACACTGGAGTTACCCGGACTGACTTACATATTGTGTGACAAGTCTCTGTCACAGTCATCGTCAGTATGACTTCAATCATCAAATCGAGTTTGAAAAAATGGGCTATGGTTGATGGGCAGAACCGTCAGGCGCGTTGGAGAAAAAAGTAAATAAGTTTGTGAACAGATAAATTCGGGCTGTACCCGCATGATATCCTGACGGGTCGCCCCCTTTTCAACAAACCAAACACTACCACCGGGACAATTTTGATGTCATCCCCTTTTCTCAACGCCTACCATTTACAATGGATCCGCCTTCCTGAAAACAAAGGATTTAGTTCTATTTATTGGGATGACAACATTTACATGACATAGAAAATGCCCCAGTGTATGATAGCAATTGCTTTTTTTTGCTACCTCTCACCACGGACGGCTTAAACGCGGATCTTGAAATCCGTTTATTAGCGATCATGAACGATGGAGGGGGAAAGACGGCCTTTCAGTTTCATCCACGCTCAAGCTTTGGTTTCGCCAATTTGATATATATCTCTCATGGTGTCTAGGTACCGAGAAAAAACAAACTTTCAAACCTCTATGCGGCCGGTCACGAACCCTTCATTCCATCTTATCGTTCTCCAACGCCCCTGGCACCTGGTTGGTACCATGATAAAAACCATAATAACTCGAAAAAAAATATTTCCCTGTCATTTTCCCTCTTATTGTTGCTTTCTCGACAGTCGCGACGCCTCTGAAGCGTACGGTAGCTCAGGTTGAGGCTGACGAGACCTCGATTTCCAATCGGATCAATGCACTGGATAACGCCAGTAATGCTTTCTCCAATACTCTAGTGAGTCCCTCCATCTTCTCACCTGGTTTGCTTTCGAGCACTATGCTGACCGACGAAACCCATACCTAGGCCATTCACAACCTCACTATCAGTCTCGTAGCAACGATCGATCAAGCAACTACGGACGTAAATGTGCGTTTCTTTCGGAAGCCTCCATGGTTTGGATAGCTTTATTAAATCCTTTCTTCGCTCAAAAGAACACCCCTACAGCATCTGAGGAAGACGAGCGAACATACTCGACAATCTAAGGGAAGTTGTCAACCCTTTAGGACAGGTTTAAATGGTCTAGTCACAAAGAAAGCTGCCTTTCAAGCTCTTCCTCTTGGAGGTGTCCCTGGTCTTATTAAACAAGACTTGGCCAGTCTCGCTACGGCTACTGTCGCGTTCGAAAATTCGATCATTGCGAAGGCTCCGGTACGTCTTAATCGATTAATCTCCCGCTTTCTTGTGTCGTTTCGTTTTTCCCGACGTCGTTTTGTTTTGTGTTCGGCAGGCCGACCTGAGGAGTTTTGCGGTGAACTCTGCTAACATGATCAACTAAGCCCTTGCGGCTGCGGAGTCTGCTTATGCCACGGTTTAACTTTTACGGAGCTGAAGAGCGGGAAGTTATTGATCTTTTGTTTCAGGGGTAGTCATCTTTTCTTCTCGCGTTTCCTTGTATCACCGCGGATTATCCTATCACCGCTCATGAATCGATTTGCTTTCCATGATCATTTGCGTCGGCTTTCAATTTTCAGTCATCCGTCAATCTGGAAAGCTAATAACATCCCGAACGCCGGCGTATTATTTTACATTCCCTCGGTGGCTATTGGGCCGCATCAAGCACGTCCTTTTGCAGGCGAGTTCGAGGTTTCCGGCGCTAAGTCACATGATCGTGTCGGGGAGTCTGGCACGTCGCTACGTTGCCTTCACACAAACCCTCATCCGCTTCTTTCTCTCAGGGACGACACTTAAGCTATCGTACCGTCTTCTCCATCATCGTTATTCTCAACCTGATGTCCAGCACGGGGATCTGAAGTTCCCTTGAAGGCTCAAACTTGAGGGTATCTCGAGCATTTCTTCCTCCACGATTCACATGCACAGTTTACCATATTAACCTTGAAATGATCCAGCTTGTTTGATCGTGTTTCTTCGTCACCGAAGCATGCTATTCTCTCTGTCTCTGAACTCGGTTCCACAAAGGGAGGTTGATTGTGCCGCTATTGATTGATCGATAATCTCTCGTTCTTCCTATAGCTTGACCTCCAGCCACTAAAAAATGAACTGATGTCACGGAAACTCAGCTCATTTCAGTGGTTCTCTTGGTTCTCCCCTAGCACCCGATATCAGGTATCATACCATAGGAATTTCAAAAGAGGTTTCCTCGCCTGCTCGTTTCCTACGCTTTTGGTTACGCCTCGGGTGACGTAACCATGGCACGCTTCTTCAACATCATTATTCCCATCATCGCTGCTCTGTCTACCATCGCGACACCCTTGAAGCGTACCGTAGCCCCGGTGGAGACAGATATCGCCACAAATATCAAACCAGGTCACTACCGTTAGCAACGACGTCGGAGCCTTCCCCAACGCTGGAGGGTCTCTTCTGCAAGGCCCCGTATGTTCTAACTTATTCTTTTTTCTGTTCTCCAGAACAGACTAACCGTCCTGAATGTGTTATCCATAATGATCTCACTACTCTCATTACAGCAGTCAACAAAGCTACGAATGCGGGCCCTTCCGATGCTTCCTAGATTTTCTTCAATCTTCGTGCCCTGCAACTTTTCCATAGGCCACCCCAACGCCATCCGAAATCAACCGCCTCACGATCCTCAACTCCGTAAAAGCCATCGTTCCCGCCATCAACAGCGGATTTCAAGCGTTATCTGCCAAGAAAGCTGCTTTCCAGACTTAGCCAACTATTCTACGCCAACCGTGGCATACGAAAACGCGTTAATTGCCAAGGCTCCAGCTCAAAGCTTAATGTCTCTTGTGGTCTGAGGTTTCTGATGCCGGTTTTCATGATATGAGCATCGCCAATACGCTTAACGCTGCTTTGGCTTCTGCACAGTCTACTCATGCTGATGTCTAATAAAGAGCTGGAGGGTAAGAAAAATCATTTGTCTTTTTTCAGGGATATCGAAGTGCATTTCTTTGGGGGTTCCGGTTAAGGACGGAAGATTCTAAGAGAGGGATAGACGCGAAAATCCTGTTTCAAATGGCCTAATTATCAAAAAGAGGGCTATTAGATTTTGAGGGTTTGCAAATCCACCGAAATGTTAGTTGTTGGAGTTTGCAATTCAACATCAGATATACATCTGCTTTATCATACTACAAGTGGGTTCAACCCCACATTTTCCCTATGACTATTCATTATCATCTTTACTTGACCCTCTCCTATTCTGCATCGTTGTTTGTGACTTGTATAAATAGTGTAGCTAGACTACAGAATCATCATCAGTCCTTTGGACATCTTACAGGAAGTAAGATGACTGGTCAACAACCACAGGAGGTGGTAACTTAGCTGCTAGATCACTCGGAGTGATCATAGAGATCGACTCAGTTGTACAAGACAACTGTCCTCACTCTCTCTCACATTAGTTTGTCCCCAATTAGAGCAAACTGATAAGGTAGGCTCTGGTTTATTCATGGTTTTATATTCTACAAAAGTATTTAGAAAGTTCTATAGCTACTGAGTAATACTACTGGACTGCTTAGTAAGGGCTGAGCCTGAGTTTTTCCAGAATGATCTACAATCCCGGTGAAGGGACTTGCAACGGTGAGCTGCATCCATAGCCCGAATTCCAACAAGAGCAGTGGGGTCAGTGATAGCTGGACCGTCATAAGACCGTCAGAAGAGCAGCCAGTTCACGCCCACCATCACTTCCATTAACGTCGACACAACGTTTAGGTTGCGGGAAAATGACAAAGGTAAAGTGGCACCTCTCCACGTAGTACTGATCAGTGGCAAACAGAACGACAAAATTAACCGCAAAGTTCTTTGTTAATTTTTTTACCGTCTTCACTCCGGTCGGACATTCTATTTTTCACTGAAAATTTATACTGCGCTATTCGTACGAGATAGACGTTCTCAGTACCAAAAAGTATGCACAAACTCTATTGACCTCATACAAGCTGGGTTTATTTTTCCCCGATCAGAATTTCTCGTCCCTCTTCTCTTGAGAGTACGCATGTTGATCTCGTTGTTTCCGTCCAATTTCAAGGTTTTTCGTGCCATAGGGTAAAAACGAAACAACCATAAAACGTGATTCCGTTACAGGGAATCGAACCCTGAGCTATCGCGCCCGCAGGTCTCAAAGAATGAGAGGCGATAATGTTAACCATTACACCATAACGGAGCAGTGTGTTATCCGCAGTCTGCAGCCCCTATGACAGAGCGAGGTGGGTTATCCCAGCTGTGTCCACGCTCGTCCAGATGCGTACTTTTGTTGGTCTCTGTTGATGGAGGGTTTTATCAAATTTTTGCTGTCAGCGAACATGACATTGAACGAAACTACAAACAGCGTCACTGATCATATACCACAAAAACACCCAAACCAAACCCCACTATCTCAACCTTACTATGTGCTCAACTGCATTCCTCTGCAGGTCTCTAACTCTAATGTTTTTGTGTTTGGGGTGGCGAGAGGTCGAAACTCCCACTAGCCAAAATTCCTAAGTCAAATTCTCTGCAGAGTGCTCAACTTGTAAGAAACCCTTCAAACTTAAACTCAGCTTCAGAGACTGTGTAGCACATCCAGATCCAAACAGCGAAGTCCAAATCTCACAAATGCAAGTAGTGCAATCAAAATAAAACTGATTAATCCCAACTCCAACCCAAAAGAAAAAGTTTATAGAGATATCTCGCTCTGAAAGGCTAACTTCAATTCCGTGCTGGTTGAGAGGTCTAGACTGAGATCAACACAGACATCAACTGCTATAGTCTCTGGCTATGGATTGGGGTGTTGGTCCTTGAGCTTTGTACTATGGTTCTACCTACTTATATACTTTGCCCCAGTTACTGCACTAAGATAGAAACAAAAGCTGTTAGGTATACTTTTCAGCAAAGCCAACAATAACAGTTCCGGGATTGTTAATCAGTCGAGGATGTTACGCTCAAACCGAAAATTCGGAAGACCTCTACGATCAAGATGTATACACTTCTACTCAGAATTTTCTTTCAAGCTGATTTCCCCAATTCGCGGTAATCATTCCGACCGCCTGGTGATAATCCCTCTCCACAGGCCACAACGCCCACGACCAATGCGCATAAATCGTCCTCGCAAGGGTCGACGACTGTTCCTCAGACAACTTTACCTGTTCCTCTTCCTCAGGCGCAGGCTCTCGAATGTCTTCGAACTCTGGTGCAACCAACTGGTAATACGTGATCTGTTTTCTTGATGTCGATACGATATGGTTCACGAATGGCCTCCGACACTCGTCGTATGTTTTCAAGATTCGAGAGACGTCTGCAGATCTGCATGAAGTTGCTCCGATGATCCCTCCGAGGATATAGGCGTCTTCCATCGCTTGGCCAGCACCTGCGCCTAGGTAAGGTGTCATTGGGTGTGCCTATAAACCGTTCGTTCATTTCCCCCCCCCCCAATTTCCAGCGATGAGAAAGTCACTCACAGCGTCACCTAAGAGCAAAGTATGCTTTCCAACGTATGAGTCCAATGGAATCATTTCTGTGATGACCCTCCATGTTAGATTTTCGATGCACTGCGCGGGTTTTTCCGTGATGTTGATCTTAACGATAGTTTCGCAAGCCATTTAACCGGAAACTTTTACCTGTATCAATTCCTGTACCTCCGTCTCCCACCCCTCATAAACCTTCAACATCTCTTCTTTTGTTGCATCTCTCACTTCTGGTCCGTTCAAGGGTTTACCAAACTCGTCAAATTTGGAATAAAAAGCGCCGATATTGACGTAACGGCCTTGGCTGATTTGATATGCTACAATGTGCTTTTTGTCCGTGTCAGCCCCATCTCAAAAAGATAATTAAGTATTCAACTGGCCACTTACGCGATTCTTTCCTAGATACTGCTCACGGATTTTTGTTTTAGGTTCAATCCGAATGACAAATAAAAGAAAGGCCAAAAACGTACCATTCTAGGACCCGAAAGCGTTCCGTGATCGGGATTCATCTTTTTCAATTTCTCCGTCGGTACAAGACCACGGAAGACGATCGATCCGGAGTAAACCATGTCCTTCGGCGACAGATGAGGTTCCTCTTCTATACCAGTGGCATTCTTATCCTTGTCGTTCTGCCTGCCCTTCAAGCCTTTTCTAACCACAGATCGGATTCCATCAGCTCCGATAAGCAAATCGCACTCCTTCTTTGTCCCATTTGAGAACTCAAGTTGTACGGTATCGCTTTCTGGTATTTCGGTGAACTTTGTGAGGCGGTGGCTGAGATGGATATTGCAGAACGATGATAATGACGGCTCGGTATCTGATTTTGCTTCCAGCTGTTGGAGAAGTGCTTGTTGCACGTCTTTTCTGTGAAAGTTGGTGGTGCTTCCTAGATACAAATCGCAGTTTTTAGTCATAGGAAAGAAGGTGTAAGTACTTTCTTTTGTCGTATTTTTAAAGAAATGAACCCACCGTTCATCTTCAACTCGAATAGGGAAGTACCCTCCCTCTGATCACTTTTTCGAAACTCGTACATGATCTCTTAACAAACAGACAAACATTTCCATCAAAGCGAATCCGAAAGCTGTCAGTTGGTTCTATTGTTTTTGTAAAATTTTCAAAAGGCAACTCACTTGGTTTATCCAACTCAGGCCTAGCCCCATACCTCCTAATCAGCTCCTCCTCCAATCCCAGGTCCTTCAGCAGACCCCATGTACGTGGCCAAACGTTTATTCCGGCTCCGATTTCATTTATCTCGGGTTGGGATTCGTAAAGGTCGAGTTCGATGTTCTCTTTCTTAGCTTTCTTTAAGGATACTGCACAGGTTAGACCCCCGATTCCGCCGCCACTGATTATCGGTGAGGGAGTTACCGGTGTTTACCGGGGTGAGGTTAATCAGTCAAAAGCCGTGTCATGATCATTGAAAGGGAGTTTGGTTGCTCCTTTTTCGGAACTTACATTATAGCGATGCGAAGTGGTGGATTTTGAGAACCAGCAGGGTGACCGCCCATTTTGATGAGGAGCTGATCCGATGGGATGAATAAGATTGTGGGGGAAATCGATTTCTCCCTTTATATAATAAGTCCACCTCCCTCTTCCCGTTTGGGCCCCAGCGGCCAGACATGGTACCCACTTGTTTTCCTGGCCGCCTGGCCCGGGCGTTTGATGTATGAATTACTCCCGAGGAATCGATTGCTTGCTTACTACCTGTGCATTGGATGATAAATATATTAATGCCCCCAAATACTGATGAACCCGAGAAGCTCGGGCTCGCGCAAAACGCGCACGTATTGAGTTCTGATAGAGTATTGCCGCCCAGCGGCACGAGATGGTGTCACCCTTTGTGTTTTTTTACGGCCGTATCACGGACCCCTGCTTGAAATCCCGCAGCTACAAAGCGACGACGGTACGGCTCGTCTACAGCAGTAGTTCGAGTGATGAAAATAGAAATTCTGGAACTTGGTAGTAAATGAGCTGAATGTACCATCCGTTGAAAGGAGACGAAGGAAAAGGAGTAAATTATAACAACCCCCATGTCCCATTCATATTCATACATACTAAGGCAACACTTACGTGGGATATCTGTTATAGCTGACGCGAATGATTGCACCTTTCTTTTTTGATTCAATTTTAGGCGAGCACCACCTCTGTTCAGTGCTCCGGACCGAAGCTGGACTCGCAGTCGAACAAACTTCTGATTGCTTAAGAGTATATCTTCCCACTTTGATTCCATTCACCGGGGATGTATTAGTTGGCACTCCGGATACCCGGTGCTTGTCACTTGATTGCAGTTTGACTTTTGGATTTAAAGTAGGAACTATCCGCTGACGCTAAATGTCTCGGTCACTACTTCTGCTATAGAAATAAAGGAACTCTTTAAATCATAACAAGAGAGACAGATAGCAAATGTATATTTGAGACAAGGATGAAATATATCAGATAGTACAGATGTTTCACTACTAAGTGTGTGAGGGTAAAGATTCCGGTGTGATTTGAACCTTTTCAGATCGATCCTGTTCTTGAATTCCCCCAAAGCCTGAATGCTAGAGATCAATAGTGGCTTGCCTCGTAGCATTGGACCTTTCTTGGATACTCCTGGGATCAGCAAACCGGAATGCTGAGAGTGTCTGCTGAACATTGTTCACAGATTTTCCATATGCCACGCGGGTAATCACCATCGTAGGAGCAAGGCCCTAGCCAGTATTTCTCATATGCACAGAATCCATAGAATAGAATACTTACAGATATTAAAGTTACACAGGGGACGAAATTAAATGGAATGGCACCACCTGATGCAGCAGCCTTCCATATCACATCATCCAATAATACAAAGGCCAACATCGAAGCTGCATATAACAACGCAGACTCAATACTATAGTTTCAAGTCAATATGAGGGTTATAAACGTGAGTTATAGATACACACATGATGGCCATAATATCATTAACTTTTAAGTGCCATGCTGGCGTTGATCCATGTTCAGCAAGTTGTCTCCTTGACTCACGGGTAATCCACCAAATACGGCTTCCTGCACAAGAAGTCATCTCTGGTTTCATTGTAATACAATTGACAGCTTACCAATTATCAATGTCAGAGTAACTTGAAAAACAACTATACCTATTACTGCTCCACTATCAATTGACAGTGTATTTGCAATAATTCTTCTGTTGTGATCCTTCGAAGTGTCCTCCAGTGCAATTGTAGAAGCAACATTGCATCCGAAATCAATACCTATTGAATAATCAGGGGAAAGCTCAGTATCATAGAAATAGACAAACCATTCAAAACTAATGCCGCAGCAACAAGTATAAATAAGATTGGCTTGTTGGAATTACACACAATATAGCAGCGATGAATCTTTAAAAAGAAATCAGTGGTTTCCCTAACAGTATTTAAGACACATACAAGCATTGTATCAGCTATTGAGCTGACAGTCGAGTTAGTGTTCAAACCAACCAAAAAAAGTAACACAGTGAGAGCTTCATATCCTTACTTCATGAGAGTAGAAATTATGTTTGTAATTCCACTGCACCAACAGATGAGTTGTCAATGGAAGATGAATGATAGAACAACTTTACTTACGTCCAAGCCACTTTCCCAATATCTCCTGAGAGGTAATGAAGAAGAGGAGTAAAGTTGCTTGTGACAGCAGCTTTAGAAACAATGGAAGCTTGGCGGTAAATACCCCATGCATTGACAAAAACATGAATGGTAGCTAGTGCAAA